CACTTCCCTCTTGCTGATGGGACCCTCACAATGGTGGCCACGATGCGGGCATATGAAGTGATGATGAGCAAGGGGACCAAGACCGTTAGAGCCCCTCCCCAGTACATCAGCACACACTGGTTGGCGTAGGTGTTGGAACAGGAGAGCTTCAACAGTGGAAGAAGTTCGCAAAAGAAATGAGAGACGATGTTGTCCTGGCAGAAGGATAACTGAGCCAGGAGAATGGTGTGGGTTAGAGAGTAGGAATGTGCAAGGACCAGGGACGTGGCCACCAGCAGGATGCAGCGTCTGAGACTCATGACGGTGGTGTAGTGAAGGGGATGGCAGATAGCCACAAGCCGGTCATATGCCATCACTGCCAGGAGGAAAACATCCAGACCAATGAACCACAGGAAGAAACAGACTTGGGACAGGCATCCAGCATAGGGGATGGTGTGCCTGTGAGCCTGGATGTTCACCAGCATCTTGGGGACCGTAGTAGATGACAAACACAGGTCCGTGAGGGAGAAGCTGAACAGGAAGAAGTACATGGGGGTGTGGAGGTGGGGATCAGAGCCAATCGCCAGGATGATGAGACTATTCCCCACCACGGTGACCAGGTAAATGACCAGGAAGATGCCAAAGATGAGAGACTGCTCTCCCTGATGCTCAGAAAGGCCGAGGAGGTAAAATTCAGAAACACTAGTGTGGTTTCCTGTCTTCATGCTGTCGTGTAATTAAAGAGTAAAATAGAAAATGACCCTTTAAAATCTTTCCATGCTCTAGTATTGCCTTGACGGAAACAAAGGCATAAAATAACGGTGACACCAGAATATGGAGGGCTGTGCATCCTCCCACTGAGAAATGCAAGAGCTCTATGGGGTGGTTATTGCTATGCCCACTTTGTTGGCTTCATTGTCACGACAACAAATATTTGAGACAATTGACTTAAAGTTTTGAGAAAGGGTTTGTCTGGCCCATGGTTGTGGAGGCTTCAGTCCACAGCCGTGGGCCTCATTGCATTTGGAACTCTGGTGAGAAAGCCAACATGGTGGGGAGTGGCCAGTGGAACAAACCCTCTCATCGTATGGCCAGGACACAAAAGAGAGAAAACAGAGAGACTGGGGTCCCACAATCCCCTCCAAAAGCATACCCCCCATCACCTAAAACTTCCCACCACATCTCATCCCTAGAAATTGTCATCACTTCTCAGTAGCACCTTGCTGGGGACCAAACCTTCAACACATGCACCTTTGGGGGACATTTCAGATCCAAATGACAGTACCCACCTTCTTGGAAAAGGAATCAAGTCCCTAGAAAGAAGATGAGGTAAAGTTAAGATCTCGGCACTTCTAATTTACAGTGTCTGTACTAATCTACCTCTCCTGAGACCTCCAGAACTAATCCATTCACTCTCTGTGCATTGAGTACTTACAATGTGTCACTGTTTCCTTTAGGTGCCAGAGAGATAGTGGTTCAGAATATGGCAAGATCCCTTCCCTCATGCAGACAATATTCTAGTCAGAGAAGTCATGTGGTCAGCAGGAGCAAGAAAACAAGATGCCATGGTGGGTGGCACATGACTTTGAACTGATGATCAGCAAGTCATGCACCGTGGAGGAATGGATGGGAAGGAGCCAGCCACATAAAGAATTGGTTGGGAGAGCATTTTAGATGTAGGTCACAGTGAATGCCAGCGTGCGATAGAGGAGGAGGAAGGTAAGGGCTCAAGTGAGGTTCACCAAGGGGGCGGGCAGGAAGGCAGGAGGAGGTGGAGGAGGCAGTACAGGGCATGTAGGGCGGGGCCGCGCAGATTAGAGAGTTTGGATTTTATTCTAAGTACAATCAGAGATCTGATGGTGGGATGTGTGGGTGTCAAGCAGCAGATCATGAATGACTTATGATATGGAGAGACCATTCTGCTACTGTGTAGAGAAAGACTGTGGGGACACAAGGGTCCCAGGGAGAGCTGTAAAGAAACAATTGTGGGACCCAAATGGATAGCGTGAAGTGGATGGATTTGGGTTGTGTTTTCAAGAGTTTACAGACTTGTCCAAGGAACAGTAAGTGCTGGATCAGGGCCCTAGAGTAAAAGCAGTTTCTCCTGTCTGGCTGCATCCTTAGGATACAAATATTAAAATTCTCTAAAGTAAACAGGAAAGAATTAAGGTGATTTTCTCTATCAACATAGAAATAATCTCTAGAGTATTTCTCAAATGGCAGAATACCTAGAACTCCTTGGAAACCTAAGAAGACTGAGAGAAGGGGTGCCAAGATGTGGATGATTCTGAATTATTTTCACAAGGGGGGGGTGTTGAGAAAAGACAAAGACAATTGCAGGAGTGAAGATATTTATCATAAAAAACTACTTATGATATATAGACTGTGTATCAGTGGCATAACATTTGATCCACATAAGCTATGTGCAATGTATCTTTTCCCCACATTATCAGATCAGGAAACAGAGACAAATTATATAGCCTAAGATCATATAGTTAATAAGGATCCCCTTATTATGCAACATTAAAATTAAGATCTTCTACCAATCCTGGAATTTAGTCCAAGATTCAATTCCATCCCTGGAACAGGGAAACTCTCAGTTTTCTCATAGGTACTAGAGATATTTGTTTCCTATTTTGAGTGACCTTGCAGAATAGATCCATTTTTAGAATGCTTCCACAGAGGGTCTAGGGCACTATGTTCATAGTGTTTCCTGTATTCAAATATTAGATTGCCTGCTTAATGCCAGCAAGGCCTGTGGACACTGAATAGTTAAGGTTCATCAAAAAAGCACAGTCTCTGTGCTTACAGGCTAACTGGGGAGACTGACAATAAACAAACAGGTAAATGTACAGTCAGAAACTCTGATTTTCATCAAAAAGGAGTGTTATGGTGATACCATTGAGAAAGTATAATTGGAACATCTGTTAGACTAAGTTCAGAGAAAGCTCCTTTGAGAAATTTAAATCTATTTTGGGACCTGACATGGTAATTAGCTATATCAAGAGTGGAAGAAAGAAGAGAAGCATATACATACAAAGGTCCCAAGGTAGTAAAGGGCCCCACTAAAACAGGAAGGCCACTATGGCTGGGCAGTGGGGAATAAGATGATGAGTTACTTGAAAGATCTGGGTCCTCTGGCAGGGAGCCACGAGTCAGTTGAATCAAACAGCGTTGGTTGCATTGTCTTTCCAAAGTTTAGAGTTACTGACACAGTGAGTTTAGAGCTCTGAAGTTACTCTAGCCTTGTGGAGTCACATCCTGGCCACCACAACTCCAGGTAAACCTCTCTGAGATGTATCTGCAGGGGGAAAATTGAAAGGAGCTTGGAGAAAGAGCAGTGGGAGCTCTAACTTTTCAGAAGGAGGGAAAGTAGATGCCTCTTGATTTTCCATTGAACTTCATGCTCTTGAATCTTTGTTTTTTATGTAACAAGAGAATGGAATGACTTAGTGCTCAAGAGTGCACACTCTGGGGGAAGACAGACCTTGGTGTAAATCCTGCCTCTGTTTATCATTAGCTAAGGGGGGAGTTGCAAAACATGTCATTGCTCACTGCACCAACAACGACAGCAATAGCAATAGCAAAAAGACTAAGCCTGCATTGATTGGTAACCTCCTGCTTAGGCACTAGATTGAAAGTGCTTTTCTTATCTCATTGAATTTTCACTGTTTTCTAAGATAAATAAGGAAACTTATTTGAGGTTTAAAGAGAACAATCTAAATAATTTGTCCACGGTGGCTCAGCAAATAAGTGGAAAAGCTCAGACCTGAATTCTGCTCTATCTGATTGAATACTTACTTACCCAATTGATGGCAGGGAATCTCAGATGCTATTGATCTGTGGGGACAGCTTCTTCTTTTTATGGGATAAAAATGAAATTCAGGGTTGTAGGCAACTGAGGGTAGACTTTTGGAGTCACAATAAATGGAACTGAAAAGCCCTGCAGTGGCCCATGGGGGAATATTTACCAGGTTCGGAGGCCTCAGATTGTTATTAGTGGGAACAGAGACTAATTGTCTCTGATTCCCTAAAGACAGAAGGTGCACTACTGTTTTCACATGAGATTTCTGTTCTTTTTGTAGACTGTCCAAGAGTGTTCCTCTTGTCAGTCACCTTGGGATGCTGCTCTGTGCTTGCAACTACTATACCTAGTCAATCTGTGACTCAAGAGGAAAAACTGGGGTACATGTCCACAAGGAGACAGCTGAGAGGGGTCATCTATGCTCATCAGATCTTAACACTATCTTAGCAAGTATCTTGGCCAATGTTCCAACTTACTCTGTGTCATTCTTCTTATAATAGGCAAATTAGGGTGTCTACTGTGGAAAAGAAAAGTTTTAATTTAAATCAGTTTTTCAGTTTCATCTGACTTATTTTGTTCAACATTTTGTTTGTGTGAGATTCACTGAGGTTTAGTGTGTATTGGTTTGTTCATTTTTTTTAGTTTAAAATTCCTTTATATAAATATACCACAATTAAAAAACCTATTCTAGTATTGACATTTAGGATTTTTCTCCCAGTTTTGATCTATTAAGAATCCAGCTCCTGTGAATATTAGTATAAATATCTTTTGCTAAGTGTGTATATTCTCGGGAGTGGAATTACTTATATGTGAGCCAAGGAATGGAGATGCTGGTTGGGAGGAATATATTGATATAACCCAATGGCGTCTCAAGGATTTTCATGGATATATATTCCCATTTACAGCAAGAGAAGTTTTTAGTGCTTCAAATACACAGCAAGACTTGACTTGTTAGTCTTTTAAATTTTATTTTTTTATTTTTGGTGCTGGGGCCTTGTGTATGCTAGGCAAGCACTCTAACACTAAGTCCCCACCCTGTGGCTAACCACCATCTTTTAAATTTTAGCTATGCTGAGAGGTGTGATATAATATCTCATGATAATCTTATTTTTTATGTCTTTTTTTTTTGGGGGGGGGGCGGGTGCACCCAGAAGTGCTTTACCACTGAGCTACATCCCCAGGCCTTTTTTTTTTTTTGAGAGAGGATCTCAGTAAGTTGCTGAAAGTCACATAAAGTGGCTGAGGTAATCTCAAGCCTCTGATCTTCCTTCCTTAGCCTCCCAAGTCTTTGGGATTACAGGTGTGTGCCATTATTCCTGGCTTTAATTCATGTTTCTTGGACATCAACTGAATTTGGACATCTTTGGAATTTGCTCATTTGGAGATCTTCTTGGTGAGGCAGCTATTCCAATCCTCTTCTTCTCTGTTGCATTTTCTCCTTTTTTTTTTTGCCTTGATTTGACGTTTGGATTTGATTTTGTTGCTGAAGATAGAAAGGAAGAGAGAGTTGCCTTTCACCATCTAAATGATATATGTTTCTTATTATAATATTAACATGTTTTAATTGTTATACATATATAAATTTATGGGATTCGCTGTGGTATTTCCATACCTGCAGGTGTTCTGTGTTGATGTGTCCGTCCACCCTCTACCCTCTCTCTGCCCTTGCCCTAGTCCCCTTTCTAGCTCCTAATAGTAATTTTTCTATTTTCAGGTCATTTTTTTCCTCTTTAGTTTCTACAAATGAAATAAAACACACAACACTGGTCTTTCTGTTCCTGGTTTCACTTACTATGATGATGACCAGTTTCATCCGTTTTTCTACAAGGGACAGGATTTCAGATATATTTTGAAGAATGATAATTCTTTCATGTTTTTGTTTTTGTGTTCTTAGTGCCACTAGAGTCATGGCATTTTTACTTTTTTTAAATTTAAGTATAATCTGTCTATTTGCTTCCTTTATGGTCAGTAATTTTTGTGTTTTGTTTGGCCAAATATGTAATATATTATCCAATGTTATTTTCTAAAAGGCCATTTTACCTTTTTATATTTATGTCTATGATACCTCTGGAAATAATTTTTATTCATGGTGTAAATTATAATTATTTTTGTCCGATATTGATACTGATTATTCCAGCACCATTATTGAAAAAGGAATCCTTTCTTTACTGCTTGTAGTATCACCTTTGCCGTTAAGCAGACAATCGTACAGGTGGAGTCTGTTTGTTCCCTTGGCTAATATAACACCACACTGCTACAATTACAGTATATTTATTTTTTCTTTTTTAATACACTTACAATTTATTACTATCAGACACTTTATATCCTCCCATCCATCCATCCAATCAGCCTGCCAACCAACCATACATCTAACTATTCATCCTTCCTTCCTTCCTTCCATCCATCCATGACTCCAACTAGTGCTTTATCTGTCCATCTCTCTATTCATACATCCACCACCACCCCAACCCAATCAGCCAATAAAACAATTAACCAACATTAAGTGAAAAACTCCTGGGTATTAAGTTCTGTAGTAGGCACTGGGCATCCAAAATTAAATAAGATCCAGTCTCTGTTCTCACTTAAGATAGTTCATTGGCTAGGAGAAGTGCTTATAGCATAGAAGTTTTGACATGTGCGGGACTTTGCGTTTATCAGGGCCCTTGGTTCAGTGTGGTTTGTTTCTTATAAAGAGATCAGGTGGGCCTTGGTTCAGCTTGGCTTGTGTTCTTAGAAGGAGAGAGCATAAGCTCTGATTCAATGTGACTTGCTTCATTATATGATTATATCCTCTCATATTTAGTTGATAATTATAGTGAAACATTTTAATTCCCTTACCTCTCATTTTGGGCATGCTCTACATGTATTTCTTGGGGCTTCCATTTAATGTGAGAAAGAGATGCCACTGTGATGTGAATCTATAGTACCACGACTTCAGTCATCTAATGAAGCTGTTGCTGTACCTCTCCAACCCCTTCCCCTCAGTTACTGATTTTACAGTGTTTTTATGATATTTATATAATACCATAGAATAAAATTGGGGTGTTTTGATTCATTACTCTCTAACATCTTGTAGAAAACAAAAGTAGCCCTAGCTACTTTGGTTATGAATTTGTTTACCAGGAGGGATCATTCTGTCTTCATCAAGATCTGAGTTCCTGTCTAATGTCCTTCAGTGCAACCTGAAGGACTCCCCTCACACAGGGCACATCTAGTCGGGTCCCACTCCTTGCACTCTAGTTTATCTCGTGCTGTGGTTTGAATGTGTGTATCTCTCCAAAATTCCTGTTATAGTTCAGCATCCATGCCACAGTATTGAGAGCTTGTTAGGCCAGGAAGCTCCCACACCAGAAATGGAATGTGCACGTGAAGAGAGCTAATCCATCATGTGCAAAGACCTGGTTTAGCTCCCAGCACGTGAGCACATGTGCACACACACACACGTACATTTGTCAAACTGGGTGCAATGATGTATGGCTGTGATTTGATTAGCTTTTTTTTTTTTTGTCTCTATGACCAAAACACTCAACAAGAACAGCTTGGAGGAAGAAAAGCTTCTCTGGGGCTCACAGTTCCAGAGGTCTCAGTTCATAGACTATTACATTGAGGAGGCCAAGCAGTCCCAGGTTAGAAGGGTCCTGGAATGCCAGTGTGCCTGCCATCCAGCTCTGCTTCCTCCATGTGGACAACCCCCCCAGCCTAGCCTCCCATCAGGACCCTGTGCCCAGCAGCTCATCCTCCCAAGACACCTCCACAGGGCAATCCCTGTGGACAGTAGCAAGGGCTGGAAGAAGCTGAGGAGGAGCATCATCAAATGCATTCAGTAACTGTGCTGCATACTTTGCTTCCATTGGCCAGTTCCAGAATAGAATGGCTCTAGTGGAAATGTAGAGCCCAGACAGAACCGATGGGCAGCCAGAAGACCCTGGGCTCTGTGGATGTTGAATCATGGTGTGGGAATGAGGTGTGCCGAATGGCTCAGGCGTCTCTGCACGGATTCCAGGCAGGAGCGCATCTGTATCCACCAGGAGTCTTCTCTGCTTCCCCCCTGCAAAACACATCATAGAGACTTGACCCTGGGACGCTTCTCCTTCCCTGCTCTTTGGGAGAAATTTATTCTTAAATTAATTTTTCTCCACAAATGGTATAATAAAATTGATGTTTCAAAGATTTTCTTTAAAAAGGCAGTTTTTATTTGTTTGTTTGTTTGTTTGTTTGTTTGTTTGAAGAGGGAGGCCTCAAGGAAAATGCTGGAGCCCAGGAGCCACGCTCTCCAATGCCTGAAGCACTCACTGTGCCTCCCTGTCCTGCTCAGTGTAGACACTCACTCACCTTGAGCCAGTGTGGATGGGAACTCACTTGTCCTGAGCTGATATAGATGGGGACTTGATTCTCTTGACATAGTGTAGACAAAGATTCTCCCCTTGAGCCAGGGTAGACTCGATTAATTTTGAGCTGGTCTCTTTGGTCAGAAGGAATCTTTACCTGGTCTTCAGGCCCCTTCCTGGAGTGTGTGGGGAGGGTGAGTCGCGGTGTTGGAGAAGACACTTTGGCAAGGCACTGGAGACTCCAGAGTTTCTATGTCTCTTTAAATGTAAACTCTGTAAGGTCTGAGATTCGACTCATCACAGACATTCAATAATTTTTTTATGTATGTAGGTGTATAAAGTTCTTTCTATTATTTTTTTAACCTGTTCTTTTTACATACACTTGGAAGAAAACTGTGTTTTGATATACTATACACACATGGAGTATAACTTCCCATTCTTGTGATTGTACATGGTGTGGAGTTTCCCTGCTCATGTATTCATATATGAACACAGGAAAGTTATGTCCGATTCATTAGAATCATTCATTAGAATCCTATTCCCACCTCCCTCCTTTCCCTTCATTTCCCTTTGTCTAATACACTGAGTTTCTATTCTTCCCTACTGCCCCCCTTATTGTGGGTTAGCCTCCACATATCAGAGATAACATTTGGCCTTTGGTTTTATGCAACTGGACACAGTTTATTTATTTAATTTAGCATGATATTCTCCAGTTCTATCCATTTACTGGCAAATGCCATAATTTCATTCTTCTTCTTGGGTGGGTAATATTCCATTGTGTGTATATAAACCACATTTTCTTTTCTTTTATTTATTTACTTATTTATTTATTTATTTTTAATTTTTTATTGTTGGTTGTTCAAAACATTACATAGTTCTTGATATATCATATTTCACACTTTGATTCAAGAGGGTTATGAACTCCCATTTTTACCCCGTATACAAATTGCAGAATCACATCAGTTACACATCCATTGATTTACATATTGCCATACTAGTGTCTGTTGTATTCTGCTGCCTTTCCTATCCTCTACTATCCCCCCTCCCCTCCCCTCCCCTCCCCTCTTCTCTCTCTACCCCCCTACTGTCATTCATTTCTCCCCCTTGTATTATTTTCCCCTTTCCCCTCACTTCCTCTTGTATGAAATTTTGTATAACCCTGAGGGTCTCCTTCCATTTCCATGCAATTTCCCTTCTCTCTCCCTTTCCCTCCCACCTCTCATCCCTGTTTAATGTTAATCTTCTTCTCATGCTCTTCGTCCCTACTCTGTTCTTAGTTACTCTCCCTATATCAAAGAAGACATTTGGCATTTGTTTTTTAGGGATTGGCTAGCTTCACTTAGCATAATCTGCTCTAATGCCATCCATTTCCCTGCAAATTCTATGATTTTGTCATTTTTTAATGCAGAGTAATATTCCATTGTGTATAAATGCCACATTTTTTTATCCATTCATCTATTGAAGGGCATCTAGGTTGGTTCCACAGTCTTGCTATTGTGAATTGTGCTGCTATGAACATCGATGTAGCAGTGTCCCTGTAGCATGCTCTTTTTAGGTCTTTAGGGAATAGACCAAGAAGGGGAATAGCTGGGTCAAATGGTGGTTCCATTCCCAGCTTTCCAAGAAATCTCCATACTGCTTTCCAAATTGGCTGCACCAATTTGCAGTCCCACCAGCAATATACAAGTGTACCCTTTTCCCCACATCCTCGCCAGCACTTGTTGTTTGACTTCCTAATGGCTGCCAATCTTACTGGAGTGAGATGGTATCTTAGGGTGGTTTTGATTTGCATTTCTCTGACTGCTAGAGATGGTGAGCATTTTTTCATGTACTTGTTGATTGATTGTATGTCCCCCTCTGAGAAGTGTCTGTTCAGGTCCTTGGCCCATTTGTTGATTGGGTTATTTGTTATCTTATTGTCTAATTTTTTGAGTTCTTTGTATACTCTGGATATTAGGGCTCTATCTGAAGTGTGAGGAGGAAAGATTTGTTCCCAGGGTGTAGGCTCCCTATTTACCTCTCTTATTGTTTCTTTTGCTGAGAAAAAACTTTTTAGTTTGCGTAAGTCCCATTTGTTGATTCTAGTTATTAACTTTTGTGCTATGGGTGTCCTATTGAGGAATTTGGAGCCCGACCCCACCGACTGTAGATCGTAGCCAACTTTTTCTTCTATCAGACGCCGTGTCTCTGATTTGATATCAAGCTCCTTGATCCATTTTGAATTAACTTTTGTGCATGGCGAGAGAAAGGGATTCAGTTTCATTTTGTTGCATATGGATTTCCAGTTTTCCCAGCACCATTTGTTGAAGATGCTATCCTTCCTCCATTGCATGCTTTTAGCCCCTTTATCAAATATAAGATAGTTGTAGTTTTGTGGATTGGTTTCTGTGTCCTCTATTCTGTACCATTGGTCCACCCGCCTGTTTTGGTACCAGTACCATGCTGTTTTTGTTACTATTGCTCTGTAGTATAGTTTGAAGTCTGGTATCGCTATACCGCCTGATTCACACTTCCTGCTTAGCATTGTTTTTGCTATTCTGGGTCTTTTATTTTTCCATATGAATTTCATGATTGCTTTCTCTATTTCTACAAGAAATGCCGTTGGGATTTTGATTGGCATTGCATTAAACCTATAGAGAACTTTTGGTAATATCGCCATTTTGATGATGTTAGTTCTGCCTATCCATGAACAGGGTATATTTTTCCATCTTCTAAGATCTTCTTCTATTTCTCTCATTAGGGTTCTGTAGTTTTCATTGTATAAGTCTTTCACCTCTTTTGTTAGGTTGATTCCCAAGTATTTTATTTTTTTTTGAGGATATTGTGAATGGAGTGGTTGTCCTCATTTCCATTTCAGAGGCTTTGTCGCTGATATACAGGAATGCCTTTGATTTATGCGTGTTGATTTTATAGCCTGCCACTTTGCTGAATTCATTTATTAGCTCTAATAGTTTCTTTGTAGACCCTTTTGGGTCTGCTAGGTATAGAATCATGTCAACTGCAAATAGTGATAATTTAAGTTCTTCTTTTCCTATTTTTGTGCCTTTAAATTCTTTCGTCTGTCTAATTGCTCTGGCCAGTGTTTCGAGAACTATGTTGAAGAGAAGTGGAGAGAGAGGGCATCCCTGTCTTGTTCCAGATTTTAGAGGGAATGCCTTCAGTTTTTCTCCATTCAGAATGATGCTAGCCTGAGGCTTAGCATAGATTGCTTTTACAATATTGAGGTATGTTCCTGTTATCCCTAGTTTTTCTAGAGTTTTGAACATAAAGGGATGCTGTACTTTGTCGAATGCTTTTTCCGCATCTATCGAGATGATCATATGGTTCTTATTTTTAAGTCTATTGATGTGGTGAATAACATTTATTGATTTCCGTATATTGAACCAGCCTTGCATCCCAGGGATGAATCCTACTTGATCATGGTGTACAATTTTTTTGATATGTTTTTGTATCCGATTCGCCAGAATTTTATTGAGGATTTTTGCATCTAGGTTCATTAGAGATATTGGTCTGTAGTTTTCTTTCTTTGAAGTGTCTTTGTCTGGTTTAGGAATCAGGGTGATGTTGGCCTCATAGAATGAATTTGGAAGTTCTCCCTCTTTTTCTATTTCCCGAAGTAGCTTGAAAAGTATTGGTATTAGTTCCTCTTTAAAGGTTTTGTAAAACTCTGCTGTATACCCATCCGGTCCTGGGCTTTTCTTAGTTGGTAGTCTTTTGATGGTTTCTTCTATTTCTTCAATTGATATTGGTCTCTTTAGGTTGTCTATATCCTCCTGACTCAATCTGGGCAGATCATATGACTTAAGGAATTTATCTATGCCTTCACTATCTTCTAATTTATTGGAGTATAAGGATTCAAAATAATTTATAATTATCTTCTGTATTTCTGAAGTGTCTGTTGTGATATTGCCTTTTTCATCCCGTATGCTAGTAATTTGAGTTCTCTCTCTTCTTCTCTTCGTTAGCATGGCTAAGGGTCTGTCGATTTTATTTATTTTTTCAAAGAACCAACTTTTAGTTTTGTCAATTTTTTCAATTGTTTCTTTTGTTTCGATTTCATTAATTTCAGCTGTGTTTTAATTATTTCTTGCCTTCTACTTCTTTTGCTGTTGTTTTGCTCTTCTTTTTCAAGGATTTTGAGATGAAGTATGAGATCATTTATTTGTTGGTTTTTTCTTTTTTTAATGAATGAACTCCAAGCCATGAATTTTCCTCTTAGAACTGCTTTCAATGTGTCCCATAGATTCCAATATGTTGTGTCTGTGTTTTCATTTATCTCTAAGAATTTTTTAATTTCCTCCTTGATGTCTTCTATAACTCATTGATCATTCAGTAACCTATTGTTCATTCTCAAAGTGATGCATGATTTTTCCTTCCTTCTTTTATCGTTGATTTTCAGTTTCATTCCATTATGATCAGATAAGATGCATGGTATTATCTCTACTCCTTTATATTGTCTAAGAGTTGCCCTGTGACATAATATATGATCTATTTTTGAGAAGGATCCATGTGCTGCTGAGAAAAAAGTGTAACTGCTTGATGTTGGGTAGTATATTCTATATATGTCAATTAAGTCTAGGTTATTAATTGTGTTATTGAGTTCTATAGTTTCCTTATTCAACTTTTGTTTGGAAGATCTGTCCAGTGGTGAGAGAGGTGTGTTGAAGTCTCCCATGATTATTGTATGGTGGTCTATTAGACTCTTGAACTTGAGAAGAGTTTGTTTGATGAACATAGCTGCACCATTGTTTGGGGCATATATATTTATGATTGTTATGTGTTGTTGGTGTATGGTTCCCTTGAGCAGTATGTAGTGTCCCTCTTTATCCCTTTTGATTAAAT